GAGAGGGGTGTTGGCGTGGGTCTGGGGGCAAAGAGGGAGGGGATCAGCTTGGGGATGGGCGCTCCGATTGATGGAGGCCCGAGGGCCGCGGGATTTTCCATCCCTCTCTGGAAAGCGGCTGCCGCTGGCAGGGAACGCTAGGCCTGGGCCCAAGCGCTGGAACCGCGGGGTTGTGTTTGCGCGGAGACTGGACTTGGCCGGGTGTTAGGGTGGTTTAGGAGTTGGTCAGTGTGTATTCTGAGAATGGCATTTTCACCTGTTTATAGTCAGTAATCAGTCACATGAGTACAGTTTGGTGTGTGTATTCTGCGTGCATTTGTGTTTGTAGTTGTGTGTGGTTCTCCTAATGTCTGTGTGCTATTCTGTGCACTCTTCATTTTTTGGCCCGTGTATGTATGTAGGTGCTTACCCGCGGCCACGCGAATGTGAGGGTGTTTGCATGTGCGTGTGCATTTGTGTAAGATTATTTGTGTACATGTGTGCTAACATCAATGTGAAAAAAGGACTTTTAAAAATCTCTGTGTGTGTGTGTGTGTGTGTGTGTGTGACTGAGTCTGGACGGGGGTGTGTGGAAGAGCAGAATTGTATGGGTCTGTGTTGTGTGCCCCTCACTATGTGTATCACAGGTGTGGGTGCTTGTTCATGTAGTAGTTTTTGCTTATGAAACTCCTGTAGGTTTTTGTGGGGGGGGGCATATTTGTGTGTGTGCTCCTAACAGCATTTTACCTTTGTGGATGTAGAGGGGGGCGGGATGTGTGGGTGCCTGTGTTGGGGCAGTGCCTGTCCAGGCCTAGCGGGGTCCCCAGGCTCCAGGGGAGGGAATTGGGCTGGGCACAGGGATGGACAGATGCTGGTCACCGGGTGGGATATTGACCCCCAAGCCTTGTCTTTGAAAAGGAGGCCCCCAAATGGGCAGCTTCTGCCTGATGGTGCTATTCTCCCACCCTCCGCTGGCTGACGGACAGGTGTCTACACAGTACAGCGGGGCTGCTGCCAGACAGGCTCGGCCAGGCACCCAGGCCCAGGGTAGGGCTCCAGGGGCCCCAGATGAAGCCACAGTTTCCAGCAGTGCCTGGCCCTGCCTCCTGGGCCACGAAGGGTCCTTGAGAGAAACAAGAACGGAGAGGATAGAGGAGGAGAGGGGAGGAGCGGCACCCAGGCTCCTGTGGGGGCAAAGTGCCGTCTACTCTGCCTTTGTCTCACTGGGTTTCCTCGCTCCCTCGCATGTTTTCCTTTCTTCTGTGTCCAGCCTCTGTTTCTTTTTCCCTCTGTGTCTCCATCACTTTGTTGCTGCATTTCTCTCTCTTGTTTTTTTCCCCTCCCTCTGCCTCTCTGCTGGGCGTCCAAATCCAGCAGCCGACTCATCGCTGCAATCAACCATCCCCATCCTGCACAGCACAGATTTTGGGGTGACGGAGGGAGGACACATACAGTCCTTAGAAGCCCCCATCTGAAGGCCTCTGGACTAGGCACACCGAGCCCACCTTCGCTCAATCCCCCACCGAGTCAGGGCTGCCCGGTCCTCCCAACGCCCGCTTTGTCCACGCGGCTGGCGCTCTATGCCTGCGTGCCGGCTCCATCACAGACACATCCACCTGCCCTCGCCTCCTGGCTGCCGCGCATGCCAGCGCACAGCAGGTCCCAGCAGCTGTGGGCCAGGCCAGGGGGTGGCAGGAATAGGGGGCAGTCTCAGGGAGCAGCCCTGGGGCTCCCAGAGCCTGGGTGTGGTGAGTCACCTGGGGCTGAATGTCCCCTTGTCCGAGGTGAGGTCTCTTTTTCCAGAAGTTCTGGTCTGGGCTTCTGTGGCTGAATTTACCCATCTTGTCCAGGTCACAGCCCCCCTGGAGCCACCCGGGGGGTCCCTAGCACAGCTTCAGGGGAGACTGCTTGTCCTTCGCCAGCCCTCCACACAGCATCCAAAGCAAAAAACAACAAAAAAACACACCTAAAACAAAACGCCAGCAGACCAACTATTAGACGAATTATCCCGCCCTAACAGCGCTAACAGATGGCGACCAGGCAGCGAAATCCCCTCCTATATGTAACTAATAAACCGCTTGTGTCTTAACAGGGTAATGCATGGAGATACAATGTCACTTACACGAGATGTTGATGGAATTTCCTATATAAAAATCTTCCTCCTAGAGTAAAGAGTATCAACATTACAACTCGACAGACGGTGGCGGGATAAGTAAAACAGACAAAAGACAAACAAGATAATAATCTGTTTCCAATCACTTAAGCCCCGTAGAGTTAGTAACGTGCGGTTTGCATATTCCCCCTTGAGTTCGGCAATTAATTACTGGCGAGGACGCACACACCTTCCAGGAGTGGGAGCTCGGAGGCGCGCTAAGCGGGGGGTGTGGGGGCGCTGGCTCGAGCTCTCCATCCCGGGTCACCGCACCGGGCAGCGGCCGGAACGGGGGCTCTCGCGGACCTTTGGAGCTGACCTTCCCGCAGGTGCGTTTCAGTTGCATCTCGCTGCTCCTCGCCGGAAACTCCCGCCCAGGGCATGCTGCGGCCAAGCAGAAATGCGGGCGTTTCCGGCGGTCAGCATCCCTCCGAAGGCACCCCAGAGTGGCCTGCTTTCTTGGGAATGTGCGCACTGTGGGGGACACCCCGGGAGCGCGCCCCTCGTCCTCCTCTCCCACGTTATCTTGGGCGGCTCAGCCGGTCCAATACCGATTTCGATC